TTAATAAATTTGATCTTTTTAAGTTAATAAAGTTTGCAGGACGAAATTCGATGATGAGGTCGTGCGTATATTAGTCCTCAAACAATAATTAAAAAAAAAATTTAAAAAAGAAATTGCAAATTTTCAAGTATATTTAGGGACAAAATTTGTAAAGGACATTTTCCATGCCCATTTGTCCTCATGCACTACAAAAAATTTATTCTATTATAATTCTACTGAATTTTTTCTTTTATATGATACCCTTACTGTTATCCTACATTGCAAGGAATTTTTTAAATAATTTTTTGAAATAATGATATTTTTTAAATTTTACAGTCCTTAAAAAAAATCCTGACGTCAGAGAGAAAAACTAAGTACGCAGTCTTATTATAATTTAGCAATAGTTTCGCGAATATTTTAATTTTTTTGTGTGTAAAATTTACTGTCGCACGGTGATATCATCAAAAAAGAAAACTAGTGCTATTATGTAATAAATAATTTTGCATTCAGCGGCAGAACCAAGCGATCACCAAGTCTCCTATGAACACAATGGCCGCATTATCAATGGCACCTTGGCACAATTCAATGCCACGCAACATGAGGTCTCAATACGATCAAAGCGCAATGATGGTTACTTTTTTGGCACAGGTCACCTCTGTGGCGGTTCGTTGATTAGATCCGACGTAGTGCTTACGGCAGCGCATTGCTTTGTCGAGTAAGTTAAATAAGTTAAGTTATAAAAAAAACATGTGTGTTCTACCTTTCCATTGCACAGTTATGATATCAACAATGGCACGTTCCGCCCAGAAACGGACTTCATTGTGGTTATGGGCAATTTGGATCGCTACGAGCGCAACAACTATACACTTGTTTTTGAAGTGAAGGAAATCGTTTTAAATATAAGCGTTTTTAATTTAACCACCTTTGAGTCCGACATAGCTTTGGTGTTCCTGAATGACTCAGTACCAGCGAACTACACTAGAGCTCAGACAATTGACATAACTACTCGACCAGTGGCTACGGGCACCGTTTGTCAGGTGACTGGTTGGGGTCAAACTGAAGATGTAAGTTACCAATAACTCATTTTTCTCACTTTATTGTCAATTTCATTATCAATTCTCAGGGTTACTTGTCCGACTATTTGATGACGGTGGATGTGCCCATCGTAGACTTCAATATTTGTGCGAACAATATGAGTTTCGGCGCGGGCTTGATTCGTGAAGGTATGTTATGCGCTGGCTATTCGGAGGGCGAGCGGGATGCCTGCGGCGGTGATTCTGGTGGTCCACTTGTTTGTAATCGAGAATTGGCTGGCATTGTGTCGTGGGGTATTGGTTGTGCTAGACCGCTACTACCAGGTGTTTACACAAATGTTTCCTACTGGTCGAATTGGATAGAGTCACGTCTTAATGGTGCACCAAGCTCCAGTCATATTTCGGGTGTTATTGTGTTTCTCACTGTATTTGGGACTTTATTTATGAATAGATAAAATTTTGTTTAAAACAAAACTGATGTGTGTATGTATATATAGACGTATTAAAATATAAGAACATTCATAAGGTCTACATACAGAAGCAATCCCTAAGGTATGCGCTTTCACCTATACTCTGAAAAGTGGTCGTAAATAACGTGCTGATCCTAAATAGGAAGCCATCGTGGAAAGCTTGCAGGCAACACTGTCGCATTACGGGCTTCAATCAGGCTCAGGAAAACGGGATGGCTTATTATAAGCTCAGCGTTTAGATGCTTTGAAATGCCTAAAAGTTTCGGTTGCCTGCCTGATTACACCAATAACTTCGTCTCTAAAATAGCAACAAACTTTCCTTCAAGCAATGACTGGGTGGGGCGATGTGGCTGGGGAAGCAGAGTACTTTTTCATGATTGTATAGAAGCTTCTTTGAGCGGTTGACATCAGCTCTTCCTTAGCATTATGTTTAGGCAGAATTGGCTGTCACTAAAGAAGCACTGTTCAAGAGTGTGAAGTGAAGAAGATGTAAGCATCTTATCCGATAGCCAAGCGGCAATGAGGGCCCTGCGATCAGTGATGTTGCGCCCAAAATTGGTCATTGTAATTTGTACCCTTGTTGATCTTGTTTGGCTGATGAGTTGGCACGATATCAACGGCTAGAGAGCGACTGGGAGCGCCACCGATCATCTGTGACTTCCTCTTGGACAGGTAGCCAGCCAGGTCATTGGAAATGGGATGTGCGCAATTTTAGAGTGCTTAACGTACAGCCCCGATCCAGGCGGTCAAATATACGCTTACGCGTATTAAAACTAAAAAATTACATCCGATCCTTAGTATCGCAGTTGTCTCTCGAGTATGATGAGGTGTACCAGAAATTTACAAGTGTACAACAGTGCTTATTTCGAGTTTGGAGCTATGAGTATACATAAATGTTTAAAGCGAGTTGGTATGGTAATTTTGTAGTTTTTGGTGAAAGTATTTGACAGGACAGCGCTATATATGAGGACGGAGGAAAGTAAAACAAGGGTGCAACATCACCTGTTGATTCATCTGTCGTTACGGTCTTCGAAGAATGATAGAAGCGAAATAAAGGTATATAAACAAATTTTCTCAATAACTGACGCTTCTCGACAGCGAAGCGCAACCTTTAAGTACATTAGTTCAAATGATCGTAAATTTGTATGCAAATGAAGATCGCGATATAATTAACCTAGGATTAATAGTTTAGCAGTTTTATCGACGACTGGCGTGTTCGTATACTCCAGTCTAAGAAAGCAGAAGTGCTTTTACAGCCCCATTTTGCATTTAAGTCGAACCGATCTATAAACATATATCACACAAAGATACATAAATAAAGACTACAAAATATACTTACTTGACATCTAAACAACGATAGGGAATCCCACATATTCTTGAAGGTCTTTTTCCAGCGAACTACTCAATTACAGGGAAATCAATCCAAGACAACCATGTTGAAGTACTTAGGTTTTTAATCATATACAGTGCCGCTCACTTTTGATCATACTATATATATAAAGTATATATATGAAAATTTTCACGGCTACCACACTTGGGAATCGAATGGAAATGTTATCCGCTTTTAATGAAATTCGACCAAATTTTTCATCCGGTTCACGTCCCTAATAAAAAATGAGGAAATGAGGAGATGAGGCTAGCTGCACAAATATTAAAGATGGGGAAAACTCCTTAGCCTGACGGAATACCTGGAAAGTTCAACAACTGGTATTTGAATTTCAATTTATTTATCAACGAAGAGTACTGTTAACAAAGGGAAATAAACCGCCGGGAGAGTCTTCGTCTTACCGTCCTTTATGCCTACTGGACACATTAGGGGAAATCGTTGAAAAAATTATCTGCAAAAGACTCACGGCGATCGCAGAAGATAAAGGTTTTTTACCAGTTTGGCTTCAGAAAATCTCGGTCGTCCTTAGACATAATTAATAGTGGCTCTGTGGAATGCAGGTACGTGGCGGAGGTGCCTCAGGCATCTGTTCTCGGACTAATATTCGCAGATGATATCGCCGTGGTGGATGTAACGAAACATATTCAGGAGACTGAGAGTAAAGTTAGCGAGACTATAAAAAGTGTCAAAGAGTGGCTTACGTCTAGAAATTTAAGCCCCGCTGATCATAAAGCAGAGGCCATTCTAATAAGCAGCCGGAAAGCCACAGAAACACAAACTTTTAGTGTTCGTTCAGAATCCACTACATCCAAGCCCGCAATTACGTGTCTGGGTTTTATAATTGTTGGTCGATTTATCTTTAAGACCCACCTCGAGTATGCTTTGAAAAGGGCTTCGAATGTTCAAGCATACTTGCTAAAAATTATGCCTAATGGTGGTCCTAGACCACCAACCCGAGCGTTGAAAAATGACTGAATAGGCCTGATGGAGACTCCAGTTTTCACTTAACCCAGTTTCTTTCGGGCTAAGGGCTTTATCGTGAGTATCTCAAGAGATTTTGGCATTACGACTCCCCGTACTGTCCTAAGTGCACAGGTATGAGGGAAAGCGCGGAACACATAATATTCTTTTGCCCCCGCTACGTCCCTGAGACACAAAATATAGTGCAGGACAACGACATACTGGCTTATGTGTAAACGTAAAGTGAGTACTAACAGAAGATATGTGTTCAAGCCACATGCATCAACTCACATGACGAGATGAGCATCTAAGTAATCGTCATAAAATATCTTGTGGGCCAACCAACCCGTGATGTTGGTACCTTGAATGGCAGTTCAACGGGAAGAGTAGTTTGTGCAGGGGTCCCAAAGAAACACCCCCGAATTAATTAAGTATTGTGTTGGCATTGGTTACTAGGTCCCCAGTCTTGAATCCATCCGTAAGTTTCCTAACTTTCTGACACAAATTTCCTGCGCTTTTTATGCCGGACAGCATTTCAAGCTGTTCGCACTCACATATTTTGGTGTATCTTTTTTATTACGGAAAATAAATCCCTCTTCTGTTGCGGTCGTCTTCTCTGCAACGGCGCAACATTTCCTCGTCTTAACAGTTGTTCTTTCGGGCTCGCGGAAATTCGACTACTTCTTTGGCGGTGACACGTATTGAACGTGAGATGTGGTCCCACGGTTTGCATATAAGTATCCACACTGGAGGAGTGCCATGTCTATCCCAACATGAGCGAATTGGCTCCACGTCTTTCGAGTTCGATACGAATTTTTTATGTTTGAACCTAGTGTACTACTATGTCGTTTCAGACATCTACTTTTTCAGGCACGTTATATGAAAATAGTCTTTTTTTTTAATTCAGTACCGACAGCGAGTGATCGATTACGAGAGTAACTGTATATGCATATGATATCTCGAAAAGTTACGTCGCTGAGATTAGATAATCGCTCGTAAAGTTTGTGGGTTTTCTTTAAACTAACTTATTTGCATCGAATTGGCTATCATTAATTTGTTTAACATCGCGCTGTGCGGACGAAAGATTTTAATCGAACGAAAAAGTTACTTCGCTCCATCGAATTAGATTTGATAATTATCTGATAAGCAGGGCAACTGAGCTGCTGAAGGATGGCGTTTTGCGATTTGACGAGCATAGCGATTTTATTTTGCGTCACATTTTCCATACACAACGCAGGTGCGTGAAGTGCTTCTAAATTATTGACTGCTAGTGTTTGCATAGTTACAGTTATTTTTTCCATATAGCCGGCGCTTCAAGTGCTAATGGCGATAAAGAACTTGGCGGGCGCATTATCAATGGCACCTTGGCCAGCTTAGATGCCACCAAACATCAGGTGTCAATCAGAAGGCGTAGTGTCGATCAATTTTACTTTGGTGCTGGACACATTTGTGGTGGTTCGTTAATTGAACCGAATGTGGTGCTATCAGCGGCGCATTGTTTTGTGAAGTGAGTGAGATTTTGAAGTGTGCAATTTGAATTGATATTAATTAGTTTTGAAAACACTTTTATTCGTTTTTCATTATTCCCTTAGTCAAGAGATCAATAATGGCTCCTATCGTTCTGCCGTTGAGTTTGTCGTTGTTGCGGGTACTTTGGACCGTTTTGTGCGCACGGAAAATACGCTCCACTTCGATATTGCGCGTATCGTTTTCGGCATAGATGTTTTCAATGCATCCACATATGAGAATGATATTGCGGTAGTGTTTTTAAATGCCTCTGTGCCTGAGCGGCATCCTACTATTGAAACAATTGAAAGAGCTAGAACGCCGGTAGCGGCAGGTACCGTCTGTCAGGCAACCGGTTGGGGACGAACCGAAAAAGTAAGAGAGCTTTTAACTGTACATTAAACATGTAAACTGTGTAAAACTCGTAAGTTTACGAAGCTTTTATGGGAACGCCCCCTTCGTGAAAAGGTGTTAATAGGTGCGTAAAGTGACAGTTTGACAGATCAACCAGGATTTTGTGAAACAATTTATGTTTCGTAGTATTTTCCATAACATTCCGCCATCTTGTCTCTATCACTCTTGGCTAAAATACAAAAAAAAAAAAAAATGCCGAAAATTAGCAGAAAATCTAAGTCTATACAGTTGGCGGATGAAATTTATTCATGTTATTAGCTTAATATTTTTTAAATTTATTTTCATTATTTTGTCATAGTATAAAAATTTCGGCCCCTCGGCAACACTGAAGTTTACGAGGTTATTTGCGCATCAAATTTGCCTCGTAATTTTACGAGTTGCTCGTAAATAGAGTTCCATACAAATTTTGACAGTTCTTTTACGAGGCTCGTAAATTTACGAGCTTTTGGAGGTTTACGAGCTTTAGGAGGTTTCCGAGGCTTTTACGAGTTTAAGGGAAGACCCCTAATCAATTTACACTCCGTAATATTTATGAACGACCTATAATCATTAACCATATAAACAGTTGACAATAGTTATCTTTATAATGCACTTACATACGTATATACCGTTAAGTGCTTTCCATTATTTCACTTTATTGTTCTACATACATACACTGCCGGCAAAACAGTATTGGCGCAGCAAATTTTTCACAATTCAACAATTTTTTCTCTAATATTTTTCCCCCAATTTTTTATAAAAATATGGTTCATTCTACAACAAAAAGCATAAAAAATATTATTCCTAAACATCGTGCAAAGCTCACGAAAATTCAGCAAATTTTAATGCAAATTTTCAACTTTTTAATCAGATTTTTTAGATTTTTTTTTGAGCATGTAGATTTGTAGCCCAAATCAATTTTATTATAATAAAGTTCAAGTTTTAAATAGCTAGGAGTTACCCTTGATTTTTGGCAATTTTTTCACGCAGTCTTTTCCGTACAAGCAAATTTTTTCGCAAATACTTTATATGGAAAAATGCAAAACACCTTCAACAAAAAAAAAAATTATCAAAAATCAATGCGATTTTTGATTAACTCCGCACTTGCATTTTTGCTAGAATTTAATGGGCTGCAAAACTGCATACTCTAAAAATTCAAAAAAAAAAAAATCTGATTAAAAAGTTGAAAATTATATTTTTATGTTTTTTGTTGTAGAATAAACTATATTTTTATAAAAAATTATCAGAAAAATTTTACAAAAAAAAAATTGTTACATATATTGTGAAAAATTTGCTGTGCCAATACTTTTTGCTGGCAGTGTACATATGTATGTAAAGTTTCATAAAAGCTTCCATGGCCTTTAAATTTATTTTCGTCATTCACATTTTTTACTATTTATCATAACGTGTTATTTTCTGAGTTGTTTTTGCGTTTTAGGGAACTTTGGCATCTGAGTTATTATCGGTTAATTTACCCATCATTGATTTCAACACCTGCCGAAATGAGAGTAACTTTGATGAGGGTCTCGTACGCGAGGGTATGATCTGTGCTGGTTACATGAATGGCGAACGTGATGCCTGTGACGGCGATTCGGGTGGTCCGCTGGTCTGTAATAAGCAACTGACCGGTATTGTTTCATGGGGCATCGGCTGTGCTCAACCTCGTTTGCCTGGCGTTTACACCGATCTTGTCTACTGGGCAAACTGGGTGGATAATGTAACGGAAAGCAGTGGAATTGTAAATAACGGAACGAGTACTGGTAATAGTACTAATACGGGCGGTAACAGCACGAGACCTGGTAACAGCACTGGTTCTGGTAATAGCACTGGTTCTGGTAATAGCACTGGTGGCGGTGGTAGTGGTGGTAGTGGCGGTAGTGGCGGCGGTGCTATGTCCACCTTCACTCATTCTGCTGTGATGCTAACAATGGTGGTCGCTTGGACTACAGTGATGAGTTATTTCTGTTAAATTAATAGCACTTCAGGATTTTAAACGATTATGTGATTTATAAAAAAATTTTAATTTATTTATGACAAAAATATACATAACCATTTTTATTGATAAGAAGAAAAATAAGTTCACCATGTTTCGAAATTCTGTGTTTTACTTTATTCGAAAAGTGAGACATTTTTCAACAGTTTCTGAACCTTCTACAACAAAATTACCTTTCTGTGTATATTTCCTACTTGAAACTTTGCGTCTCAATAAACCAGTTTTGTTTGGGTTATTTGTCGTTATCTCTGTTTCAACTAGTCGCCGCGAGGTATTCGAAAGCCTGCCTCAATTTGGACTCACATCGCATAAGTCACCGTTGGTAATGGTAATTTTTTGTTTTAGAGGTGTAAAACTTTAACTTCAAATTAAATTATGAGATTACATAGTTCTAAACTTAAATTTTTCAATAAATGAGGCCGTCCGGACTATGGAGAACCATGCCGAGCCCCCGGAAAGTTGAAATATTTTTTTTGTTTAAGTGTGCTTCAATTGAAGAACCAACGACGATTTTCAAAAAAGAGGGCACATTTTTGGTATGCAAAATAATCTGAGTTTTGCAAGAATTTGAATTCAAACTTTAATCCAGTTTTAATGAAACCTTGAAGAAAACGTCGTAGCACAATGTTGTACAACCCCTTAAGAATCAAGAATTTCTCAAAGAATGGATAAATTTGCTTTGTGCATATTGGGCGGTGACCAAAGTGTTCCTATTTCAGTTTTTTCTAATAAAAATTTTCCGTGACAAAGCGGCAACGTTGAGAATAGGCTTGCAAATTCAATAAACTATAGCTATTCAAATTCGTATTTAGTTAAAAAAAAACACTGGGCTTTTTGATGAGAAAAATTCGAGATGGCGGATTCACAATCAGGATGATTCCAAAGTCAAAGTTGCGAATCTAGTTAAACTTTCTTGTTTCATTATAGATTGAATTATTGAATATTAGATGTAAAAATGTCCGTCTTCGGCAACAGTTACTAGAATATTGCCGAAAATTCGGTGTGATACGCAAATATCAGGGAATAATACGTTCATCTTCAATTCGGCAACGTGTTAAATAGTTGGACTGGAGGTAAGCGAATTATATTTGCTTCGTGAATAGTCCTTAAATGTCCAATTTCTTCGATCAAATTGATAGAAACGTCCACCTCGTAAGCCGCACAGAAAGCTCGATGTGGCCACTGCCTGAGCACATTCACTCCCTACCCCCAAAGGCGCTGCTGCTATTCTTCAGGGTTGTAGGCTTAGAGGAAGTATTGTGAAGAGGACGGGGAGCAGCAGTAGATCTCTGAGTTGCGGTGCATACCTCATTTTGTTATCTATCTGTCTAAGCCTCGCAGAAAGATGCTTCTTGCTTCTGCAAGTTTTCTTCATTTAACTGACTTTATTTCTAGAACACTTGAACCAAATTTCTAGTTGGCTTAAAATCTTTTCGTAATGTATCCAATAAGGCAATCCTACAGAACGTAGAAGACCTCTTGCTTGAACTGAATCTCAGCATCTGAATCCTTTAATTCTTAAGGTAACCCGTCAAAATTTTTATCCGGGCCATTTTGACATCAGTACCGTGGGTCCCAATATCCCGCGAACATTTCTAGTTTATACCTACGCACAAGATTGACGAGACTTTCGGAATGAGCCCAAAGGTTTTTCTACGTAAAAGTTTAACAGTAGGTTATAAGTAAGGCAAAGTTTAGCAATCGTCCTATTTTTCTTCATTTTAGGCAATAATTGCGCGTTTTTTTTCCAAAATTGTCCTAACTATTACGAATTATTTGGAAGTGGCAGTCAAGCTTTAAGATTTGCAGGTTTTTTTTTATGATACAGGCGGGTCCACTTGCTCTACGCGTTGGTTTTGTGTCCTATTTTAATTCATATTATAAAAGTAGTTCTTTCTTTATCAATGTTTTTTGAAATAGATTTTTGTTTATGCATTTTTTTTACTTAAATTACAAATGAAAAAAGATTAAGAACTACTGACTTTAACTAAAATAGAAAATAATTAAAAAAACAGTGCATAATTTTAGGCAATAATTGCGTACTTATGTATATACATCATACAAATGCTACCCTGCAAGAAATTTTACGAGTTCAGGAATAGTCACGTAGTACATACTCATCACACACAAAAAGTGTTAACTGGCATGAGCTGAGGCGGTGGGCCTACCACAGTACAACAGTTCGAACAGCTTATGCGACATCTGCTTTTGAGTTGCCAAAGCCGATCTAAACCGAAGTTAATGGTTTTCCTCACAAATGTCGGTTGTGGCGTTGCGAGAAGACTACAGCTTCTGGCTCTGAGAGCGCAGGTTCGAATCGGATTGGAGGTGGTTAGGTAAATAAAATAAATTTAATTTTATTTGGGAGAAAAAAATTAAATATGTACTTAAATGCCATAAAAATTCAAAAAAAAAAATATTATTTATATAATAAAATACAAACTTAGAGAAAAACATGAACTAAAAATACATAAAAAATAATATATACATTAGGCNATCGGATTGGAGGTGGTTAGGTAAATAAAATAAATTTAATTTTATTTGGGGGAAAAAAATTAAATATGTACTTAAATGCCATAAAAATTCAAAAAAAAAATATTATTTATATAATAAAATACAAACTTAGAGAAAAACATGAACTAAAAATACATAAAAAATAATATATACATTAGGTTGTGACAAACAAAACGAATGTTTTTGCCTTTGGTCCCATAAAAAAAGTTCGCTGTCGGTCACAAAAAAATAATTGTGGCAGCATTTCAGCAATCTATCTTAAATTTTCAGATAGCGCACGCAAAAATAAGAATTCGGAATGAAAAAAAATCCGCTAATATGTTTCTAATAAACAATTAAATATAACAAATAAAAACAACAAACTTGTAGCTAATTAAATTTTAGTATGAACATCCCCATGTTAAAAATACCACTCGCTATCTGGGAAACGGAATGGACGACGAACTGGTTGTGTTGAAAACTTAAGTGGTAGTATTCTAGTTCATAACAACTAGCTATCCCTGCAGGGTAGTAACTTTATTTTGAACACACGACTCTATCATTACTTCGGGTTCGAAAGAAGCGATAGGCATGAAATGCGTTCAACCTTTTTATTTACTCTAGGAAAAATAAAAACTTGGAGACAGTTGCGTTCCGGACGTATCTTTACTCCCTTATTTTGTAGGGAATAATGAGAGCTTCAAAGTCTTCTGCCCCTCTTTTCGAAATTTTAAAAGCTAAGAAGCTAGAAAGCTTGAAGGTTATAGCATAACTTTTCCGCAGAGGCGCACAGTAGAGTGTTTCATATCTTTGAAATCAGGTAAAAATAATCATAAATATCTCATAACGAAACCAGTCTAATATTTTGGTGACCTAAACTTTGTCATATAGGATGTTAAGAATGATAAAAAACTTGGCCAACTATTATTCCCTCATTTCAATTTTTGAGCGCCCGCGGGCTTTGTTTATTTTTTTTTAGGAAATGAAGCACATGGGCGTTATTTCCGCGGACATTATTGCACTCCACCAATATTAACCTATTTTGAAATTAAAAATATGGGTCTTTTTATTTTCGATATTCTTCAGTTCTAGGGGTTGGCTGGAAAAAAGTTTTGCACCAACCTAATAAGCCAGCGGATTTCTAAGTTACGCTTTAGACAACTGAAGCAGTTAGCTATTTAACATTATTTATAATCGTTTGGCTCGATTTTGGTATTAGCTTTATTTGATAACATTGGCTATATTATCACCTGCTAAATAATTCCACAACTGATAAGCGAGTAATTTGCGGTTTCCCAAATAAAAACTAAGAAATTTCAGGCAGTTATCAGTATCATGTGCTGCGATTGTGAACACCTATATATATGTATATCATATACATACGTACGAATGTGGATTTACATAAAATATTGAAGAGGATATGGGCTTGGTTTAGCTATGAAAAAACGTCAAACAATAATCTCACACAGCAATGAGCAAGATCACTGCGATAGTTAAAGAAAAATTTGGTTTTCTTTGGTTGGAAATTTCCACCTCAAGATCTTTCCGCCTTCGAGAAGAGGAGAAGACGGTGGTGGACAATGTAACTGTATACAGTGGCAAGAAAAAATAGGGAAATCTTAACCAGTTTTGACAATTTTTCTTTTGTTTATTTATTGTTTATTATTAATGTTATTATTTAACAAAAAAAAAAAAATGTAGGAGTATACAATTCGTGACCGCTTTCGATCCCATTTAGACCATTTAGACCACATCTGCCTGAAAATTCGACAAGTCGTACTTTGAGTCCATCTTTCTTCTTTCCTGTTTATATGCACATTCACTTAGTAGCAGCTGGCAAGTGGCAAATGGTATACCAATGCGTTCTTTGCCAAGAAGAATTTGCTTGGTTGGTCCTTACCTTTCAAGTTCATCTGCTATGCAGTTTCCATTTATGACCAGGGACCCAAGTGCTGTGAGTCTGTTCTGCTTGGCCATCTCCTGCAGTCTAGCGCATTCTTTGAGTAAAACGTAAAGGAGCTCAGAGTTTTTATTGAGGTCTGGCTAGCACCATAATTGATCCTTAGGATTTCGGTTCTAAGCTTCTCGCCAGCATCCATGATAGCTGAAACCTGAGCATGAAATACGCTGCAGTAGTCTGGAATCCTAAAAGAGATTTACAGAGGAGGATTTCGTGAGAAAACGCCTCCTCCCACCTTACCGTCGAATTTCGGGCTATCTGTATAGATGCCAATACTATCAGGTGGAGTGCTAATATCTTCTTTCCACTCCTCCCTGCTTGGGATTCTTGGGCTGAAACTGCTTTCCGGAACCGAAATCGAAGCACAGCCGTTTGTACTGTTTGGAATAAAGCAAAATTTATTTAATATACAAGAGTGTCCCACGACTTCAGGTTGCCACTGGGATGCCTCTCTCAAGCGACAAAAATCTAATAAATATTGGTGAATAGCCTGAGGTTTACCTCTTGTTCTAATGCAGGACAC